AGCGCCCGGGGACGGCTCTCTCCCCCCAGCTCTCCTCTGGGCCCCCTTTCAGCTCTGCCTCAGCTCATCTAGGGCAGGATCGCTCCCCGGCCCCCGTCTCAGCCTAAGGTTCCCATCCTGGGATAGTCCCATCCAATGAGGTGACGGCTGGGCACCCCATACGCCAAGCGTGGCCCTGCCACCGAGCTCCCTGCTTGTCTCTGTGCCCGCACCATTCCCACCCCCCTACCCATGCCCACATCCTCCCCGTACGCCCCCTCCGCTTCCCCAGCTCTCTGCGACCCCCACGCACCCACCTCCGGCCAGCCTACACGTCCAGGAGTGATCTGAGCATCAGTTGGAGCCAGGAAATGTTTTCCTCTAGGACAGCAGGCACCGTAGGCTGCACTGCGGGGCTTTGCTCTCCAGTCTCTGGGGCAGGACCTGGGGCCAGAGGCCCCTGCCAGCATGGTCTTTGCTCCGACTGGACAGAGCTGGGTAAGCCCTGTGCTCCTAGTCTGCACTAGGGATGGGAAATTCAGATTCATCGGCGAATCGAATAGTCGATAAGGCCGCTTCTGCCTTTGAAGTGTAGCAACAGCCCCTGGGTTCAAAGGCAAAAGCCCTGCGGGGAGCACGGGGCCGGCGGGGGGCTGACTGAGTCCCTCACTGGCCCCCTGCTCCCTGTGGCGTTTCAAAGCAGCAGCGCCGCATGGAGCCCGGGGTCAGCTGGGGACTCTGAGTCTGACATTCTGATAGAGGCAGCAAGGGGGGGCGGGGAAGCGACTAGTTGTTCACATCCCCGAACGAGCCCCTTGGATGGTGCCTCCCTCTGCCCCCCACCTCCTTCCCTTGCTCTGCCCCCCTCGCTGTATTTTCACCTCCTTCCGGCATGTTCCTTCTCCCCGGGTGCTGATGTGACTGAAGTGGGTCCTAAAACTGCCCCTTCTAGCGGCAACAGATCCTCTGTGCAGCTCAAAGCTCCTGGCAAGCAGCGGTGAAGCCAACCTCACAGTATTACCAATAGGGAAACTGAGGCACAGAGCATCACGCTGCCTGGGGCCACAGGGCAGAGCTGGGAGGAGAACGCATCCAACCTATGCCTGTGCTTAAAGCACTAGGCAGCACTGCCTTGTGGAACACAGAAGCCTCTGCACTGGCTCCGGACATCTCTCTTTCAGCACTATCCCCCGCTGATGCTCCAGAGGGAAATAGGCTGTCCCCCTTCCCCATATCCCGCCCCCTCTACGCGATGGAGGGTTTGGGAGGGCGATGGGAGAGCAGATTCCTTCCTGACCACTCCCCCACAGCAGCCTGCCTGAGCTCTGAAACCTGCGGTTTGATTCCTCTGAGCATGACCTTGGTGCACTCAGCCACAAAACGTTATTCACAGTCATAAAAATGACCCTGCCAGGTTTTAAAGCCCAATTACCCGTCACCTCCCTGCTTCCTCAAGCAGCTTCCAATCGCCGGCCAACCCCCCTGGCCCCAGCCACCCCGTCCTCCTCCGTGCGGGAGCCGGATCCTTAGCCTCCCGCCCTCCTGCACCGCAGCGATCCAGTGACTTCACAGGCATGACAGCAAAATGCTCATTTGCGGAGTCCTCCAGGCCAGGTAAAGCATGTCCCCCGCCACCAAGCACTGCCTGGGCTCTGCCTAACGAGCTCGCCGCTTTCCAAGCATCCCCCGGCCCCCGGGAATGACCCCCCCTCAGAGCCGCCAGCCCCGCAAGCCCCTGGGATTTTCGCTCAGCCCTTTAAACAGGGAACTGTGACATCCAGGCGAGTCAATAGCAGCCCGAACATTATTTCCTTTGATCCAGCTGTGAAGTCTCTGTGGGTTTTTTTTCCTTCTTCTCTCTTCCTACAAGCACAACCGTGATCCCCAGCAAAATGCTGCAAAATCAAAGGGCCACCCCACGGCATGCGGGGAGCAGGCTGCAGGGGCCAGCCCTTGGGAACACAACAAACCAATATGTGGGGCTCCAACACCTATGGACACCCTCCCCGCCCCCTAGCTCTGTAACCCTGTCTCATCCATCAGGCTGCAAAGCAGAACGTTCTGGCACAACTGGACCCACTACAGGCCAGCCTGGGGGGTCCTGCCCTGCGGAGCAAACACACACCCGTGGCTCAAGATGCCAGGCCTAGTCTCCCCTGTGCTTTACCCGCCCGGGGACTCTCCAGGGTCAGACCAGAGCAGACCTGGCTGCAAAGGTCTCCGTGCGAGCAGTCCAGAACTCCACGGACTTCGCTCAAGAGAACGGGGGCTCGGCTGGGACGAGAACCCCCGGGGAGCCCAGGCGTTGCTAAGGCGGCAATGCTGGAAGCCGCGGAGAGGAGGCCCAATCCACTGCCCCGTCTAGCGCCTCCTAGCTGTGCCCTGGGAGGCAGCGAGGGGGAGCTCAGTGCGGACATGCGGCCTCCCGTCTGTCCTTGGGAGTCACGGCAAATTTCAAGCAACCCAGCGCCTGGCGGGAGGGGCGGTGAGGCCATCCGGG